CGTTGGCCAGCCGGCCTCAGGTGGCGGCCGTGTCCTCGAGCCCTGTTGGCCTGGGACACTGGGTCCCCGCCTTCGGTAATGATGAGACTCCTCTTCCTCGACCCCCAGCACGGGCACTTCCCAGGTTGCCAGGGCCTTGGGACAAGCGGCCGGGACTCTTCTCCCAGCCAGAGCCAAGCTCCCGGCTTTGAGGTGGAGGGTTTTTTCTTATAAAACGGCTGCATCTGAGCCACACTGCATGTGCTTTTTGTTGGAAGAGCTGCATGGAAACAGTCATTCAACCAAGACAGTTAACGCGAAACTGTCACCAAGAGGATTTCGTACTCGAGGGCTCTGATTAGGAGGAACACAGGATGCTTGCTGTTCTCAGAGATCTTCTCGCTGCCTCTCTGCTCCCAGCCCCGCCCCAGCCTCTGACAGCCACGCACTGGTCAGACCCTCTTGCGCCTGTTCCGGCTTCCAAGAGTGAGGACGGGGTGTCTGGGGGAAAGCCCACCTGGAGATGGACACGGGGACCACCCACTGCAGGGGAAGCCGGTCTCCCGGGGGAGGGCGGGAAGCGGGCCCCTCCTCCACCAACTGCACCGCTTGTCTGGGAGAAGCCTCCGGAAACTGCCGGACCCCCTGGACTTGGGTTGGGGGGCCCCCCTCTACAGGATGTGTACAGGGGAATGGTTCTTTGGTTACTGGCGGGTCCTGGCGGCTGCAAAGTTGGGGAACACACAGGCCGGGGAGAGAGCATCACTGGGGTACAGACTCACAGGCAGGCCCAGGAAAGCAAGGAAAAACGAAGCCAGGATCCCTTTGTCCCTAAGGAGTTCACGGCCTCATGATGAGCTCAGAAAGACCCAGAAGTCTGGGGAGTCAGAGAGCTTGGGAAAGAAGTGAAGGAGACAGACGCTGATGAGAATAATGCCTGCTGGTGTTTCCTGGGCCCAGAAGAAGGTGTGAAAGTTCTCAGTGCGGTGCCGGGACCAGGCAGATGCTCAATCTGTGTTATTTTATTTTATTTTATGTTTATTTTATTTCATGTTTATTTTATTTTTGAGAGAGACAGCGTGAGTGGAGGAGGGGCAGAGAGAGAGGGAGACACAGAATCCGAAGCTGCTCCAGGCTCTGAGCTGTCAGCTCAGAGGGGTGGGGTGGGGCTCGAACTCACGATCCGTGAGGTCATGACCTGAGCCGAAATAAGACACTCAGCTGACTGAGACACGCAGGCACCCCAATCAGTTTTATTTTATTTCCCCATCAGGTAGCTGTGTTATTACCCCGTTTTGCAGATGAGAAAAGTGAGGCTGAGGAGGGCCATGTGTTACAGGAGCTGGTTTACCTGCTCATGGCTGAGCCTCCGTGCCCCGGCTCCAGTGGGAGGGGTCCGTGTGCACTCCCCCTCACAGCCCTCCCCTGGGGGGGACAGGGGTGGCTGGCGGAACCCTGAGACGGCCCCCAAGACTTCCAGCCGTTGCTGTGAACGTCTATAAACCACCCCCACCCAGAGCATGGCGTGGGACCCGCGAATTCGCGAATTCAACGTGTGCTGCTCATCAGCCCGCTCTGGATTTCGTACTGGAGAGTCTGGAGCGAGGCTGACCTAATCCGCGGGCTCCTGGAAGGGGGTCTAGTTTAACAGGTGGGGAGGGATGAATGGTGCGGAACTGGTCAGAGGGGTAGGCGCACAGCCTTGTGACGGCACTCAATGTCCCTGAATTGTTCCCTTGGGAATGGGTACTTTTATGTTCTATGAATCTCACCTCTTAAAAAACAGAAACAGAAAGGGAGCGTCTTGGGGGGGGTGGACTTGAACGGCACACACTCGGCTGAGGCTGCAGGTCCAGGATCAGGGCGCTGTGGGGCTGGTGTCTGGCGGGGCAGAGTGCTGGCTTGCGGTTGGCTGTTTTCGGTGGGGGGGGTGGCGGGCACAGGAGGCGGAGAGCACAGACAGGAAGCAGTTCTGTCTCCTGATGGCCCTGGTCCCCTTCCTGAGGTTCCGCCCTCTTGACCTTATCACTCCCAAAGGCCCACCCCTAACTCCCTCCCCTGAGGGCTTAGTGTTTCAACGTGTGAGTTTTGGGAGCACATGTGGTCCATAACAGGGGGTCAGGAAGGCAGGACAGAAGTCAGAGACCCCCTGGATGGCCTGGCAGAAAGCAGACAGCGCGCTGTGAATGGGGGCCCCATCGAAAGGAACACCGGCTGCCGGCCCGGCTGACAAAAAGCCAGGGACTTCAGTCATGCAAGGGAATGGATTCGGTCGACAGCCACGTGAGGTTGGGAGGAGCCCCCAGGCCCCAAATGAGACCGTACCCTGGCCCACAGCTTGACGGGAAGCTTGTGACTCCTGACTCATGGAGACGGTGCGGTCGTGGTGGGAGCTGGGTTTGTGCTCATTTGTTACACAGCACCAGAAGCTAATACAACACAGTAAGCCAGCCAGGAAGAATGTTCTGGAAGTGAGGAGCCAGGCTGAGACAAGGTTCATGCCACCCTCACTCTCTGGATGGTGAGGCGTGGAGAAGGATCCGGAAGCCAAGGGATGGGGACTCCGTTGGCACCGTGGTTCCTGCCAGTGGGCCCACGTGGGGGGTGGCTCTGCCAGGTCACCTTCGCTGCCACTCCTGGGGGGGGAGGGGCTGGGGAGGCTGGCGCCGCTCTGGGTGAGACCCAGCGGGGTGCAACCTGGTTTTCATTAAGTATCAGAGGCTCCGCATGAATCCGCGCCAGAAGCAAGCGTTTACTCGCTGCTCGCTGTAGACACGAGGGCTTGGAGACAAGGGTCCTCGGGCCCTGGCGGAGACAGTGGCGGAGACGAGCCAGGTCCTTCAGAAGCTCCTGGCCGCTGGGTGGAGCTCGGGTCGGGGGGACAGGGAAGGGCAGGGGCGCGTGCTCCAGACCCGGCGGCGGCTTGGAGGGGCTGTGAGACGGCATGTGCTGTCCCAGGAGCTTTTCTGGGGCCGTTTCGAGTCCTGCGACGTGCTTGGTGTGTGACTAAGGTGGGATTGACTCCTCAAGGCCCGAGGTCCTGAGCTCTGGGAAGGACCCCTCTCAGCCCTGTCCCTGAGCCGAGTTGGAAACTGAGGCTGGAATTCAGGCCTTCCGTGGGGGGCTCCTGCCCCAGCTGGCAGGAAGCAAGGCCATGGGGGCTAATCTGCTGCAGGGGGGGTGTCTGTGGTGAATTGCATAGTGTCCCCTCCAAATTCATGTCTACCCAGAGCCTGTGACCCTGACCTTGTTTGGAAATAGAGTCTTTGCAGATGCAATTAGTTGATTTCAAGATGAGAGCACCCTGGAGCGGGTGGGCCCTGTACCCAGGGACGGCCGTCCTCGGAGGGGTGGCCGCACAGGGACGCACAGAGAGGAGGCAGAAACAGCGAGGCTGGGCGGCAGCTCCATGGGCTGGAAGAGGCAGGAAGGGGCCTCCGTGTTCCAGGCAGCCCAGCCCTGCAACCCTCTGAACTCACCCTCCTGCCTCTGGAGCCGGGAGACAGTGCAGCTCGTTTTTACAGCCGCCTGGCGCGGTGGCCCCAACTAGCCAGCGTTGGGGAAAAGCCTTTGCTTCCCCCACCCTGTGAGGGTCCTGGATGCGAGTTGGAGCCGGGTGTGGGGGACACGGCACGGCCTCAGGAACACGTGTGTCCCACCTCTGGGAGAGTCACAGGCTTCTGTTTGAGGGCCGCCAGCCCACCTGACGCCGCCGCGGCCCGCTCTGCGGGAGGGAGCCTGGAGTTCACGTCCCGCTGCTGCCTTAACAAATCACCGCAAAGGGCACCTGGTGGCTCAGTGGGTGACGTGTCCGACTCGGTTTCAGCTCAGGTCATGATCTCATGGTTTTGTGAGTTTGAGCCCTGTGTCGGGCTCTGTGCTGACAGCACGGAGCCTGCTTGGGATTCTTACTCTCTCTCTCTCTCTCTCTCTCTGCCCCTCCCCTGCTCACGCTGTCTCTGTCTCGCTCAAAAACGAAGAAATTTTAACAAGAAAAAAATCACCACGACTCAGCATCTTGATGCCACCCAAACGTGCTCTCCCACAGCTCCGTGGGTGGAAGCCTAGCAAGGGTCTCCCCAGGCGAAAATCAAGGTGTGACCAGGACGATGTCACCGAGGCTGCGGGCTTCCTGCGTGCCTACTGTGAGCCCGTCATTCCCGCGGGACGCAAGCCTAGTTTCTTGGCAGTCTTAATGGACTTTGAGGGATGAGTGTAACCACTATTTCCATTTTATGGAGGAGAAAACGGAGGCTCTGAGGGTCTCGCTGAAGCCCCCACGGCTGAGAAAAGCCCCCGCCGGACCTTCAGCCCAGATCTGTCTGGCCCGGAGCCCAGCCCCTTCCTCTCTCAGGATGCTGATGGGGTGTATGGGGCCCAGGCGGGGCCACGGGATCCGGGAGGCAGAGGGTGAATTCGGGGTCACTGCAGCAAAGTTTCCCAGAGGAGGTGGGAGCCGGGCTTCTGCAGAAGTGAGACAGGCATGGCTGGTGTCCAGGGGGCCCCGGGGACGCTGGGGAGGCTGGGGCTGGCTGGCCCTAGGGGGGAGTTCACCTGAGCCCCGTCTCACATGCACGTGCTGGGGTGACTTGTGGGTCTGTCCCTGCCCTAGCTGACGATAAGCCAGGAGAAAGTGCTGGAGGCTCTAGAACCCCTTCCGCCCAGACTCGGAAGGAAATCAGAGCCACATCCTGCTTGGGACAGGAGCGGGAAGCAGCAAGCCCGGCCAGGACTGCGTGCGGCCATTTAAGTTGTAACCCAGGGGTGCCTGGGGGGTGCAGGCAGCTAAGTGTCTGACTCTCGAGTTCAGCTCAGGTTGTGATCCCATGGTTCGTGAGTTCGAGTCCCCCGTCGGGCTCTGCGCTGGGCGCTGCTTGGGATTCTCTTTTTCTCTGTCCCTTCCCCTCCTACCCCCCTCTCAAAAAAAAAAAAAAGTCATAATCCAAGACCCTCTGGGTCAACTCCATTTCCTGGCTTCCTCTTGTTCCCTCCCACTTCCCTCTGCTTTTTTTCCCCCCCAGGGCAAAGTGCAACTGCAGTCTCCAGTACCACAAATTATGCAGTCGAGTTTCCCACATTTGGGGAAATCGCAGGGGTCAGCACATCCAGAGTGCGATGGACACGCCTCATCCTGGGAACACCACCTTCGTGGTCATGGTATCTTCCTTGCCAGGTAAGCATTGCTTTTTGGTTTTAATGGTCTCTTTCAGCTCCAGGTTCAGGTGACTGAATAAAAAAGAAATGAGTACAGATTTGCCAGCCTTCCTCTAGACAGGGTGGTCATGCTCCCTGGGCTGGGAGAAGCCACCCTCATTCGGGGGGGGCCAGGGTCACATCCCCTGTCTGATGGGTCAGGGCCTCTCCTGCGCCTGGAGCTGGCTGCACAGCTGGGCCCCGTGCTCTGTGTCGGGGTGCGGTACGCAGAGAGCAAGTTCAGGCGAGTCAGAGTCAGAGGCTGGGAGGAGGAGGGGAGGCAGGGGGCTGGCCAAGGACACTTGCCGGTGACTGAGGATCGTCAGAGGCACCCAGGGGTACGCACACACTCCAGCCTGACAGAGCCCCTCCTGCCCGCCCAGGACCACGGAGCACGGCCTGCCTGGGGTACTCTGAAGCCAGGACCCCCCTTCCATGGGCCCTGGCGCCCAGCCACAGTGACAGGGCCCCCCAGGCGCCCCGGGGCCACCCCAAGGATCTTTAAACCGTCACACCCGGTCGCGCAGGTACCTGGCTGGATGGGAGCAAGCGAGAGGCTCACACCTGCCAGGACCAGGGTGTCGCCGGGGGTGCAGAGGATGGGGGACACTGGCCTCCCTCCCTCGCCACCTAGTCTCTGCGCAGCTACAGTTGCAGGGTGGGGAGGAGGAGGGAGGGTGGGGAGAGTGTTTCATTTAGTGAGTGAAATACAAGGTGCCCACTTACATGTGAACGTTGGGTAAGTCAATAATTCTTGTGCGTGAGCTGACCCGTGTAATATCGGGGCCATGCTTCTGTTTAAGATGTATCCCTTGTTCACCCGAGATTTGAGTTTAACTGTGCGTCCTGTGTGGTATCTGGTGACCCCGTGGACGGGTCCCAAGCAGGAGAAGGCGGAGGCGTCGGTGCCCGAGGTAGGTGGCCCAGGGCCCTGGACATGCTTTCTTGTCTCGTTGGACTTTCCTTACAAAACGCGTGCTCAAGGATAATAAGAATTTTAAGACGGTGACAGGAGACCCCAAGCGTGGGGTTCTTCTGAGCAGGAGGTGCCGTGTGGTGTGATTGCCCATGGCCACCGATACTTATATTAGAAATTAAACTTGAGAAGGGTGCCTGGGTGGCTCAGTTCATGGGGCATCCAAATTCAGCTCAGGTCATGATGAAATACAGGGTTCATGGGTTTGAGCCGTGCATTAGGCTCGCTGCTATCAGCACAGAGCGAGCCTCGGACCCTCTGTCCCTCTCTCTCTCTGCCTCTCCCCCACTGATCTCTTGCTCTCTGTCTCTGTCTCTCAAAAATAAAAATAAAACATAAAAAAGATATTAAACTTGAGAAAAATTAAAACTATTCTTTAACTCATTTAAAAATAACAATTATAAAAAAATTAAAAACCAAATAAAAATAACTGCCATAGATCCATGAGTGGTCAACTACAAGTACTACTTTTTCACGAAAAATAATTTTATTTTCAAAAAAGAAAACCCACCAGGGGCACCTGGGTGGCTCAGTCGGTTGAGCGTCCCACTTAGGCTCAGGTCACGATCTCACGGTTCGTGGGTTTGAGCCCCACATTGGGCTCTGTGCTGACAGCTTGGAGCCTGGAGCCTGTTTCAGATTCTGTGCCTCCCTCTCTCTCTGATCCTCCCCTGCTCATGCTGTCTCTCACTCTCAGAAATAAGTAAAAAACATTAAAAATTAAAAAAATAATAAAATACATTGTCCTGGGGCACCTGGGTGGTTCAGTTGGTCAAACTTCCGACTTCAGCTCAGGTCACGATCTCACGGTTCGTGGGTTCGAGCCCCACATCGGGCTCTGGGCTGACAGCTCAGAGCCTGGAGCCTGTTTCAGATCCTCCCCTGCTCATGCTGTCTTTCTCTCAGAAATAAATAAAACAGTGAAAAAAAATGCATTGTCCATTTTTTAAAAATTGTAATAGCTTTTTTATAAAGTCTAGATATGAGCCTCTTACCTGACGTATGATGTGTAAATATGCTGTCTGGGCTGGGGCTGCCTCTTCCCCAGCTTGATACTCAAATCTCAGCAAGTGGAAGGGAGAAGTTCCAGCTGACGTTTATCCGGGAGCAGCAGCGTGCAGGGGGTGGTCTAACCCGCGGGACCGTGTTCCCTCGCCCAGGAGTGATGGTTGAGGATGGCGCAGAGAAGTCTCGGGGTCCCCCGACATTTGGAGGCAGGGGCCTGAGGGGGAGCCAGCCCTGGGACGGAGGCTCTGGACCCCGGGTGAAGGACGACTTTGCCAGAGGGAGTCACCCGTCACCCGCTGTGCGGGGTGCTCATCACCTCGCCTCGCCTCGCCTCACCTCACAGGCCGCCCTGGCCTGTAGTAGGGGCCGTACTGTGCGCTGCAGGGTGGTCTCTACCGGCTACTGCCACCACCCCTTCCCGGTTGTGACAACCAACGATGTCTCCAGACATCGCAAAGCATTCCACGGGGGGACAAGCCACCCCGCAGAGAACCTCAGCGTCAGGTGTATGTAGGGACGTGGAGGCCTGTCTTAGCCGCCTCCTGTCTGCCCGTCGGTGAGGGAGGCGCACACTATCGGGGCGGGGGACGCTCAACCCCCGACACTGGACGGATGAGACCAAGCGCAGCTTACTGGTGGCGTGGACCGATGGCCAGCCACGCAGGGCCACGGCAGCTGCACTTGGGAACAGAGTGACCCGGCCGGGGTATGGGCGGCAGGCTTTGTGCCCCCTTCCTGTGGGAACATGTGACGGGCTCGTGTGAACTATCTCGTGGGCTGGCAAGGGACATGAAGCCCCCTGTTCCGGGCCAAGCAGGTGCCGCACTCCATCTGGCAAGGACGACCCCATATGCTGCGGGGAGGCCTCCAGCCCGGTCACTCGAGGCCCCCTGGTTTCAGGTTCAAGGCGGGTGTAACGTGGGTTCCTGATTCTAGGCCTTCCACTGAAGGCCCCTAGGCTCCTGCACGGCCCGGCCCAGAACCTTCCTGTGGCCGGCTCGCTGGGGAGGGCCCGGCGTCACCAGCAGGATCAGCGTGGGAACATGGGCCATAGTGGCTTCCCTTTAGACGCCGTGGCATGGAGCTCAGCGGCCCGATCCCCTCCCCTCCCCCCATGCACGCTGCGGCTGACTTCCTCTTCTAAACTGTATTCACCTGTGCAAATGTTTGCATTTCCGACGAGAGTGCGCCTCGCTCACACTGCTTGTTTCACTGTTTTCTGCTCTCCAGGGACACTCCGCATTTATTTTCGCTGGCACAGCACGCACACACGGGTCCTGTTTTATTTTATTTAATTTAATTAATTTATTTTTAAAAAATTTTAAATGTTTTATTTATTTCTGAGAGAGAGAGACAGCGTGAGCAGGGGAGGGTCAGAGAGAGAGGGAGACACAGAATCCAAAACAGTCCCCAGCTTCTGAGCTGTCAGCACAGAGCTCGATGTGGGACTCGAACCCACAAACCGTGAGATCATGACCTGAGCCAAAGTCAGACGCTTAACCAACTGAGCCCCCAGGCGCCCCACATGGGTCCTCTTTTAGAGGCAACTAAGAAGCCTTCGCTGCGCCCACAGACACAGCACAGCTGGAAGCCGCAGTTCCCGGTCATGGGGCGCGAGCATTCCCAGCAGCGGGGCGCCGGCCCTGCCGGCTGACCCTCTGCCCTCCCCGCGATGACGCCCGTGCTTCCGGGGCTCAGACCCCGGAGAAGCGGCCCAGCACACCCTCCTGGGTGTCCCTAAGTCCCTCTTAGGACGGAGGGAGTGTCACCCTTTCTGCCCTGGAAGTTAACCTGCAGCGAAACGTGGTTCACTGGGAAAAGTGAACGTGCACTCTGCTCCTGTGGGAGCCAGCGCTGGGGTCGGAGCTGGGCCCCGGGGTCTGTCCCTCCGGCTCGGATCCCAGGCTGCAGGCCACCCGTCCCTTTGTGCCATAGGCAGACGGGCAGGAAATCAATGTCTTGCTCTGCTGACAGAGGCGTCCCTGACATCTCAAAGGCAGGAGACCATTAAATGCCACGGACACGACACGCGGTTCACGGGGGAGATGAGGCTTCGAGCCACGGCTGGGGTCCCCCCGCCCCCCACCCCAGGAGTGCGGTGGCTGAGATGTGGGAGAGCAGGGTTTTTTCTTTTTCTTTTCTTTTTCAACATTTGAAAACTTATGAAAAGTCTGTAGACTTAAGCAGCATCGGGGGGACAGTTCCGGGGCCCTCATGTCAGCGGTCACTCGGCCCCTTCCCCTAACGAACATCCCGGCACAGTGATGGACACCGGGCCGCAGACCCCACCCCGAGGGCGCCAGCGCGCCCTCCCACGCCGCGCCCAGCTGTCCGGGCTCTGGGCTGGGACACTTTGGCCGCCTCCCGTTTTCTGTCACGACCTTGACCCTTTCCAAGAACACCCTTTGCGGGTTTTGTAGAGGGTCCCGGAAACGGGGTTTGTGTGATGTGTCCTTACGATGAATTAGATGGAGGTTACGGGTTTGGGGGGAAGGGCCTTGCAGCACCTCAGGATGGGGGGACCTGCCGCTATGCTGACCTTCCTCACCTGCTTATGGTGGTGTCTGCCGCCTGGAGGTCCCGTCTTAGCCTTTGTCACTGACAAATACTTGGGGGAGTCGGCACCTTCATGGCCCATCAGCTAAGCGTCCGACTTCCCCTCAGGTCATGATCTTTTAGTTTGTGAGTTTGAGCCCCGCGTCGGGCTCTGTGCTGACGGCTGGAGCCTGGAGCTGCTTCGGATTCTGTGTCTCCCTCTCTCTCTGCCCCTCCCCCCCTCATGCTCTGTCTCTCTCTCAAAAATAAATAAACATTAAAAACAATGAAAACTTTGGCCCCTACTCTTCGCATTTGTTGGTGCATCGAGATTTGGTTTGAATTCCAGAAGCTCTTCGAACAGCCTCCTCTCCCCTGCTCTGCGGAATCACACTCAGGCTGCCAATGATCTTCAGGCAAAGTCCCTCTAAAGTGTGTTGTGAGTTAGTGGACCCAGGAAAATTGTCAC